AGTTCCTTTAATTATTCGCAACACAACATAGTGACTGTTGTCCAATGCCACATCAAGCCACATCTGGGGTATATGAGTCAGTACAAGACCTTACACTTCATAAAAATGGTCGTCCATCCCCCGCTCTGCCTCATTTTTGCTACTAAGCTTCGGTTTCTCTATCTGGGAGAATAATGGCACTTTGCACTGCCGCTGTGAAAATGAAATGAGTAATCTATGTGAGAACACCCAGCGTAATGCCTCCCATATAACAAGCTCTCAGCCAGCGTTGATAGTCGTCATTTCCTATGCTGACCTCATGCAGCTGGTACCTCGTAATTATTTTGGGCAACTACATCTCAGTGTTGACTCACATTGAGTTTGCTGTATATTAGATCGCATGTCTCTTTAACATGTGAATTCTGTCCCATCCTGTAAAGGAAGCAATTTTCAACTGCTGTGCCACAAGAATTTTTAAAACATGCACTACCTGACTATTTAGTCAGGGACACTGACCTCTTTTCTCTTAGATTTTCAAACTAAAACAATGACAGCAGTCAACACAACAATTCGTCCTATGTGAATGTCCTGTCTCGAATCATAAATATGTCATGTAATAGACTTGCATCTTATTGGTCACATCACATAATAAGGTTGCATCTGATTGGTTAATTCTTGGTACCAGAAATCCTCATATACAAGTATAGGCACCTGATTTTTTAAGAACATGATCTCACTCATATGTGGAATACATAGCTATCAACAATTACTTTAAATGAAATGGATTAAATGCTCCAACCAAAAGACATATGGAGGTTGAATGGATAACAAAACAAGACCCATACATATGCTGTCTACAAGAGACTCACTTCAGATTGAAAGACACACACAGGGATGAAGAAAGATATTTCATGAAAATGGAAATGAGAAAAAAAAAAGCTGAGTAGCAATACTGAGAGCAGACAAAGTAGACTTTAAAACAAAGGCTATAACAAGAGACAACAAAGGACCCAGCAATTCCACTTCTGTGTATTTATCTGAAGAAACTCAAAACACTAAATCAAAAAGACATATACATCCATATGTTTATTGCAGCATTACTTACAATAGCCGAGATATAAAAGCAGTGTTCATAAATGGATAAAGAAGTGGTGCATATATACAAGGGAATATGATCCAGCCATCAAAATTTTTAAAAAATGAATGAAATCTTGTCATCTGCAACTACATGAATGGATCTAGAAGGTTTTGTGCTGAGTGAAATAAGACAGAAAATACCATATTATTTCATTTATATGTGAAATCTAAAAAACAAAATAAACAATCAAGCAGATACAGAGAGCATTTTAACGGTTGCCAGATGGGAGGGGCTTGGGGGAATGAGTGAAAAAGATGAAGGAATTAAGAAGTACAAATTGGTAGTTACAGAATAGTCATGGGGATGTAAAGTACCGCATAGGGAATATATATAGTCAACAAGATTGTAATAATTACATATGGTGTCAGATGGGTACTAGATTTATCATGGTGATTACAATAAGTGATATCCATGTCTAATCACTGGGTTGTACACCTAAAACTAATATAATATGGGATGTCAACTGTTATTGAAAAATAAAAAATATTATTTAAATATTTATCTAATTTATCTAACTCTTTATTGCTAGTATACAGAAATGCTGCATTATTACTTTGCTCCTTTTTTTTAAAAGATAGATTTCCAACTCCACAGGATCGAGAGCTTGATGTGTCAACAAGCCCTCAATAAATTAGATATTCAGGGCTGATATTCAGTCATGAACAATATCATGGCTGTACTGGTTACTAAAATATTGAAACATTTCTACAGTGGAACCCTCTTCCTTTCCATCTGGTACCTTGGCCATCCTGGACTTTCCCTCCAGACTGACCCACACCTCCCCAGTTCCAGACACTAGTAATGAAGTTTAATATCTTTTCTTATGTTTACAGGACATCCATGTAGCATCTTTTATACTATAAGCATTTTTTTTGTCTTTGCCAAATTTTTTTCTGTTGGAATGTTTTTTCTTATTAATGTATAGGCATTAATTATATATTTTAGAAGCTCTTTTGTTGGTTTTATGCATTGCAATCTGTTTTCACTCTCTTTTGTACTTCTACACCTAGCTCAGCTGGGGCCTCAAGCCCTGTTCCACTGGAAAGGTAGGTGTCTGTTATGATTGTTCTATTCCTATCCATGTGAGTTATTAAATATTTTTAATGTTATCTCTTATGCTTATATTCCAATGCTAACATAAAACCAAGGGTAAGTTATTAATCCAAGTGGTTTCTTTTTTAAAATATTTTTATTGATTTCCTAGAGGAAGGGAGAAAGAGATACTTCCTGCATGCCCCCTACTGGGGACCAAGCCTGCAACTTGAGCATGTGCCCTTGACTGGAATCAAACTTGGAACCCTTCAGTCCACAGGCCGATGCTCCATCCACTGAACCAAACCGACTAGGGCTCCAAGTGGTTTCTTATCCAGAGGTGCAGAGAGCTCAGAAGGAGATGATCAGCTCTGGGGTTCAAGGAGGAAGCAGGAAATCTGAGCTGTAACTAAAGAGATTCTAGCTAGCACCCATCTCTGATAATTCCTGCCCAAATCCCTTCAGCTTCCCCCAAGTCTACTCCTCCACTTGGAGCTCCCACAGGCACCTCAACCACACATGCTTCAGGCTGAACACATCATCTTTAAATGCTAAATCTGCTCTCCTCCTGACTCCCCTAATTGGTGGAAGAGTGTCTCCAACCATCTCTCCCTTACAGTAGAAAATTCAGAATCATCTGAGACTCCAACTTATCCTCATTTCCTCTCTATTATTGCTTACCAAGATCTGTCATTTCTATACCATAAAAAAATCTTTCTTGAATATGACCTATTCCCCAATCCCGATTACTGCTGTCTCCTAAATTTTTGAATAGTTTCCTAGCCTGTCTTTTGGCCTCCAGCCTCTTTGCTCCTCCAGTCCCTCCCCCACACTGCTACCAGCATTAGCAGTCCCACCTGGCCCATTAGCCTACTCTGTTTCTTCATCTGTGGAAGGGAGTGTGGGGGAGCCATCTGCCTTCGCATGGAGGAGGGTGAGAATGGAGCTAATACAAAGCAGATTGACTTCGAGTTGGTTTTATTATTGCATTGAAGTGCTCTATAGACAAGTCACTCCTTTTGCCTACACCTGGCCTACAACTGTTCCCACCCACCCCACCTCCCTTCTCTTTGATAATATGATCTGTCTCGCAGAGCTTCCATGAAGGTCAATGCAACAGTGCTCACTGAGAACTTAGCCCAGGCCCCTGCACAGGGTGAGCACTTAGTTAATGTTAACGATGATTAGTAAAAACATTATTTTTGGTTCTTTATCCCCTATATGATTCCTGTTTGGGCAAGCAAAGCCTTTCTGGCCTCAGATACTCCCTTCCACCCTCCTGCACATTATACTCTAGCAAAACTGTTTATTCTTCCTTCACCAAACCAAGTTCTTCCGTGTTTCCATGCCTTTGCAAATGCCCTTTACTCTGGCTGGATGTCTTCCCTCTTCTCTGCAGATTCATCATTTAAGATCCAGGTCACAGTCATGCTTTCTGTGAAGCCTTCCTCAAATGATCCAGACAAAAGGAATACCTCCTCCCTCCTGTGAGCCCATGGCTCGCGGTTCATTTCTCCTCTCTGAAGCCTGCCTGGAGTGGAGCTCCCAGAAGGGAGAGTCTGTATGTGCTTATCAGCTTTGTATCCAGTCACCAAAATTGCTGAGCCCATATTACCGGCTCAGTACTGACAGGGATTTAGCTTGTTTTATTAGAATGAATGAATGGATGTGAATGGTTTTGGCTTCATCCTAGACCTAGCCAAAACTTTGGGTAGCTACAGTTTGGGTCCTTTTGTATAACCTGGTATTGGACTCTTCTTTCCATGCCCCAAGAAAAATATTCCCTACCAGGGTACCTGCCTTCTTAAGGAATGGAACTCAGGACCTAAGGAAAGCCCTTTTCAAAGTAGGGAGAGTGATGAGCAGCTCAGCTCTGTCTTCGCAGCTGTCCCTGAGAGGGCGCTGTTCCCAAATGAACCCTCCGAGGCCTGGACTGAAATACCCGCGCCTTCCCACAGGATTCAGCATCCCTGGCTTCCCAGGCAGCAGCCGCGGGTCCCCAGCGGAGCATCTGCCCACAAACATGGCTGCGCCCTGCTCAGCTTCTCCTC